CACACACACACACACACACACACACACACACACACACACACACACTTCTATTTTGTAAGATGCTCTGAAATGTGACTTCTTGGTGGTCATGTGTAAAATTTGTGGGTGAGAGGACTCTAAATTCTCAAGTTCCTTTTTTCAAACTGGAAACTTAACTTGGTATCCCTTCAAATCTGCGTCCCCACGACTTGATTACTCCTAGATATTTATCATTTCCACAATTTTTAAAAAAATATTGTTTAGGTATGTAAAACTGTAAAGAAATGTTGTGATCAATCATTTGAACTCTACCCTGATATCATTGTCCTAAGAAAATATTGAATACTTGTTCTGAGTTTGTATTTTGAACATGGTGCTTTTACTTGCAAATGCGATCTGATATATGTTCAAATCAGCTTCCTCCCTGTTGTTTGCAGGAAATAGAGTATTGTCGAAGTTTAAAAAAACCATTGCATTCTGTTGCTTTTTTTTTGAACTTTTATCACTTTGCTGTTGGTTCTTATTATAGATTCACCCTGTTTTTAAATAAAATGCCTTTTCTGTAGACACTTTAATCATGTACGAAATATCTACATAGCTCTGCATGCCATCGTATCATTGGGTTCAAATTTCTGCACTACAACTATTTTCTGACTCTGCCTTTGTGAACTCCACAAAAGTTAGAGTCTGTTATGCTAGACATTCAAGACCGTAGGATACTGAAAATATGACTTCAGTGGTAAAATATGTTCAGCTAAATTTTCATCTTTTTGTATGTGACAATTAGGTTTAAATTCCAGTATTAAAAATGATGATCTTGCAGTTTTGCTAAGTGCAGTGCGCAAGTTGTATCAATTCTGATCAGAGTCAGGGTGGCTATTCATTGTGTTTTTTTTCTTCTTTCTTAAATACTTTTATTTGCCAGGTCTGGTTTGTATGGTTTTCCTGCGAACCAGTTTGCCAAGCAAGAGGAGTTTCCTGCCAAGTCGTGTACCAGTGACATCCTTGATGGTAAAGAACAGGCAGTGTGTCAAACTGAGTCGCAGCTTTGCAACATGCAAGTTTCCAATATGTTAGGCAGAGAACAAATTTCACCTCTTCAGCCATTACCAGAAACTGTGCCTTGCTTTCCACCTTATTGTGAAGGTGTACCTCTACCACAGCCATTAGTATTGAGACAGACTTACAATCAGTGGGTTCCCCAGCCGCCACCTCGGACAATCAAGCGCACAAAAAGACGCCTGTCAAGGAATCGCGATCCTGGTAAGCTTATAATGAGCACCATCAGATTGCGGCCAAGGCAGGTACTTTGTGAAAAGTGCAAAAACACACTAAATCAGGAGGAGGACGATGATGACAAAGATAGACACAACAGTAAGAATGAGAAAAAGACTAGCATGGAGGAAAATGAAAAGAGGAAACCTGAGGTAATGTGCTGTGAAAATAGGAAAATAAAAAAGGAAAAGAAAGATGATAAATTTTCTGGTGAATTGGTACATCGAAGCCCTGTGATAAAAATATCATATAGCACACCTCAAGGTAAGGGAAAAGTTGTAAAAATTCCCTCACGGGTACATGGTTCAATTGAGCCCTTTTGTCCTAAAAGGTTATTGCAAAATGAAAGTGTGGACCAGGACAAAAATACAAATTGTGAGGAAATGGAGGTTCTTCCAGAAAAGTCATTCTCTAGTCCACCTGGAACCATTCCAAAGCTAAAACTGACTAGACCTTTGCATTCCAGTGCAGACATCCCACCACCTAGAATTCGACTAAAACCTCATCGGCTTAGTAATGGGGACAGTGTTGCAATTTATAAGGCCGAGCTTGTAGATAATGTAAATAGGGACGCACAGCCTACAAGGAGATCAGATAATGGTACACTTCATTCTGAAGAATCTACAGGAAAGAGTTCAGTAGAGACGTCAGGGAGTTCTGGAGAGGAGGACCAATGGCGGTACAAACGGAGTCGTCGAAGCAAGGATCAAGATGATCTGACTGTGTATTTAAGTTATAGGAAAAAACGAGCAGATTCATCAAGTTTATCAGTCTGTAGTAATGATAGTTTAGATGAATCAAAGTCTTCTAGTTCAGAGATGACTTCGCCAGAAGTATGTGATTTTGCACCTGGAGATGATGCTTCTGTGTCATCGTCTTCCAAAGAAGAAAAGACAGTGCCTCCTTTAACTGTGAGACTTCATACCAAAACTGTAATGAAATGTGTAACAGCTGATGGCAGGACTATATCTGTTGGAGATATAGTATGGGGAAAAATTCATGGCTTCCCCTGGTGGCCTGCACGCATTCTCAGCATTAGTATTAACAAGAAGGAAAATGGGGCTCCACAATGGCAGGAAGCCAGAGTGTCTTGGTTTGGATCACCTACAACATCGCTACTTTCTGTATCAAAAATCTCCCCATTTTTGGAATATTTTAAATTGAGGTTTAACAAAAAGAAAAAAGGAGTATACCGCAGGGCAATTACTGAAGCTGCCAAGGCAGCTGATCACCTGACACCTGAAATTCGATCTCTTCTTTCACAATACGAAACTTAACTGAGCAGCAGCAACAGGTGAGTGACGAAACAAGTTTCTATTGAATTTAATTATGTGGACCTCTGAGTAATTGTTTTTCACACTTTAAAATTAAGCAAAGCTGTTGACCCCAATATTATGGGAAATTGCATCCTGTGAAACTGCTATATCAACTGACCCAAGTCTGCAGATTGAGAAGTATTGTGCAACACCTTTTTGACTGGATGTTCTTGGCCTCGAGCGATAACAAAATACCCTTTGGTCTGTCAAGCCTCTGCCATGTACTTACGGAGTGTGTACTGTCATGATTGGATGCTGCCTATACCCCAATAGTTATACGATTTCCTGGGGAAGCAAAAAAAAATCACACAAACCTGACGTCCAATTAGGAGAAGATGACTGTGGGTTAATGTGGATTCTTTTCTTTTGGACAATCCAAACTAGTCCAGCAGGCAACCTTGCCTATTGTTTCCCCATCTTTTTATAAAATGAGATTTTTGCTACGGGCAGACATTGGTCACAGGTCTCGAGTGATGACTGCCTGCTTCTTTAAGTACAAGAACTGACCATTTGTTCTTGGTCTAACATCAATACAGGGTTTGGAGGTGGTGGGGGAGGCAACATTAAACCTCTAAGTTGGCCCTCTATTGAGTAATTTGTGTGCACGGGTCCTACGTTTTTCTAAATCCATTTACATTTTATCATTGGAAGCACAATCTTGTCCTCCATTTGAAATAAGTCCTATCTAATAACCCCAGAGTCATGCATCAGTAGAGTGATAGTCTTAGTTTTTTAAGTCTTGATGTAAATGAAGGTATTTAAGCTGGGAATCATCTTTTGTCACCCCTTTTCCAAAGCCCCTCAGTCAACAAACAAGGGGGCCAAAACTGGGTGCAATATTCAGAATATTGTCTAACCAGCAAAGTGGCATGGCTTTGTTTTATATCCGAATAGGTCTATTAATACAACCTGTTTGTTTTGGCTGTAGCTCCATGGCATTGGTCATGACATTTTATTTTGTTAAAGATGAACTTTAACTCCAAAATGGTTGTCTTAACTGATTTTTTTACCTGAAGAATTTAAGTGTACTTGGTGCCCAAATACATAATTCTACACTTCATGTCAGTAAAGTACAATTTTATGCACTTTGTTCATTTCACTTGGTTCATTAAATTTGCTGACAGAAATATGTTCCCCTCCACTCTCCCAGCAATTAGATAAATTTTATCATCTATAATGCTTCTGCTGAGCTTTGCTTGGTAGCACAACTGCCTGGAAAGTACTGTGGAGGCCTTGATCCATTTAAATATTGTACAACCTTGCGTGATGGAAAACAAAATTTAAAACATTCATTATCTGCCGATTTGTGGACTATTCCTATCCAGCCATGTCTAAGTACCTTAGAGATGAGGCTTTTTAAAAAAAAAATTACCATTATCCCTGTAATGATGTCACTGATCTTTAGTATCCTGGACAGATCCACAGCCATTAATAACGTCCTGATGATGGAATGCCGCCAATTCTTGGTTCATTTTAAATTCCAGCTGACTTCTAGAAGATACTGTCTGGTAGAGTAACGTTATGAAGTACTAATTTCTGATATTCCTGCCTTGCCACCTTAGTAACTACTTCTGCATTCTAAAAAAAATCCAATTAATATATTGTATTGGGTCCTTCTTTATCTGACGGAAGGAATCAAAGATTCTAAAACGAACAATTATGTGACACATGTTAAACATTCAATTAATGGGCCTACAATTCCCTGAATCTCACCTATTGCCCTATTTTGAAAATCTGGTCATTCTTCCTATCCACATTACCAAGTTCAAAATTCAGTCACCTGTAAAAAGGTGTGTGTAAAGGAGTAGTATTGCACATGTCCCATGTGTCTCTGTCACACTTTTGGGTTGCTGGTAAGATGCTTCTAAATTTTGCGTGTAATATTTATAATTTTATTTCCTGCTATACAAAAACATAGCTCACTATTGAGCAACATTGCTGGAATGAGGATTGATAAAAGGTAATAATTTAACAGAATTTCCATGGCTTGAGTCCATTTCAGTCTGAAATTTTGAGATGTCTTTGAATCAGTCCTGTACATTCTTTAAGAACCCTCAGACTATTTAAGCAGCAAGGGCTTTGCCATACCCGCTGTTAATGTCCATCTTCTTACTTAATCTCCTCTTAGCTGCTCTGATTTCTCTTATTTGCACATGTTACTTGACTGCTTTGTGAATTCTGTATCTTTTCTTATGCCTCAATTTCCACACTGGAAATAAAACCCCACTATTCCCAGAATCATCACAAAAGTTCAAGATTTTATAAAAGTATGCAGAATTGCCCAATTTATCTATTGTTTAGACCAAGGTTGACAAAGCACATACCAGGATTCTGCACAGACTAGTTGTTATTATTACAAATAGACTCTAGCATTAGGCTAACCATCGACTAGTTAAAACTATAAACCCCCTTATACACACATACAGAGAAACTTTTTAAAAAGGGTATTATGGGCAGAGAGAGAGACCGAGAAGGCAAATTAATGGCCTGTTTCCTGGATTCACTGAGATGATCTTTTTGAATTGTTACGACGATGTGCTCCTCGATCTTCCTTCACCCAGTACGACTTCTTGCTTGAAGGAGGCACAGAGTCACAGGTTCACACTTTGAAATCTCTGACTTATTGTTGTAAGCAATTGACCTGGGGTATCAAACTGGCTTTCTTCAGACGTCAGATGATTTTATTGCAGATAGAGGACAACTTCGTTTCTGGAAGTGCATTGGAATCTCACCTAACCATTCGCACCCATAAGTTGTTGCACTAACTGGGAGCCTGTCATACATCTGTTGGCAAACAGGAGGCATTTAGCGTCAATAAGTCGTCACCATTCTCCAGATCAGCTACTTGTTCTGGTTTCTCTCACGCTCATTCTTACTCTCAATTCTCCTTGCTTGCTCTCTCCCTTGCTCACTCTGTCTGTCTTTCCTCCCCTTGCTTGCTTGCTGACCCTTCCCCATCGCTCATTTGCCTACTATCATTGCGGTCTCACCATCTTAGTCTATTAAAAACATAGAAATATAAAAGGATACAGTCTTTATACACGTACATATGAGCTGAAATGTTTTCAAATCTCCTACATAGGTAATGCACCATTGTAATTTTCGTCCCATACCCCTTTTTTATTTTAAAAATGGCTTGTTTCTGCTTGGCATTAAATTTTCTGCGTAGTCTTTCCAGTTTGTTTCCAAATTGTCAACTAATTTTATAAAATTAGCATTCAAATAATATTTTGTGCATTTGTGCTGACAAGTTGCCTAATTGTGCCAAGCCAGATCTCCTCAATTTGATGACCTGTGCACATTGCACTTTTGGTTTTGGCCAATTTGGCTTAGTCTTTAGAAGTGTGATTCCAACATCCACTTAAGGTGATGGAAGGTAAGGGCATTAATATTGGCTATGCAGTGCAGAGTTGAAGGTCCAGTGAATTTGAATTTTCTTTTTATTTGATGGGCTACAACAGTTGGAGTATTTGCAACTTGTATGGAATTGACTTGCAATGAAGATTTCTAACTTCTGTACAATTAAAATTAATTTGACATAGTGAAAACAGCCACCCCTGTTTCATGTGGTTTCATGTGCATTTAAGCAATGCTGTGATTAACCTTATTTGGACCAGTTCACTTAAATCCAGTCTGAAATACATCAGTGTAATGAAAAAAAGTTTCACTTCAGACTTTTATGCGGTTACTAAGTAGTGCATCATTTCACGTATTGTTTAGCATCAGCAATTCCCTAGTTGTCAACATAGTGAAAACTTCTTTTATTTTATGTGACCAAATGTTAATGGCCTTGTATCAAATATGTAATTCCACAAATCACTGTACCTTGATGAAAAAAACTATCTATATTTTAGATGTTTTTATAAACTTTATAATTATGGATACCAAAAAGTAATACTTCAGCATGACATTTCCTTGGAATAAGGACAAGTTAGAAATGTAATATGCTGAACAAGTGAAAGGGTAAAAAGAAGGGAAGAAGGATGAGGTGTATGAAATGGTGAACCAAAGAAGAAATTAACTAAATAAGGGTTACATGGTTCAAAGTCAGGGAATTGCAACAGAACTTGTGGAGTGTTTTGTTTCTCCATTTTTTTGTTTGCAGGTTGGGTTCCTGTTATTCATCCTTTATTTACATCATCTTTGTTTCTTTAATACAAAAGCAGACTACTTCATGTGCTGTAGATGTTCATTTATTTCCTTAGGTGCTGCCTGACCTAAGGATTTGGTTTTGGTCCATATAAATCTATGCATTTGACTTTTAAATTAAAGTAACTTGAAATAGTTAGGGTATTTAGTAACATAGCTAATATTTGTGCTTTGTAGTGACAGCATAGTGATCAGTTCCATGTTTTGTGAAGGATGCAACCTTTAGGTATTTAAAAGGCTATTCTTGTCTATTTTTAGAGGATTGTCTCTAACTAGAATTTTGATTATTTGATGTGGACCTCACCTTTTCAATGTTTTGATGTCAGGAGTCAACATACTTGTGACAGCCAATATATTTCACCTTACTAATGCATTCTCATTTCTCTTAATTCTTTTCTATTTGTTGCTCTTCGATTAATTGTATTCACTGATGAATAGCAATAATGTTGGGGTATGGAGTCTGCCCTGCTTTGTTATAAGATGTTTCTATCATACTTTGTTAGTTAAGCCAATGTACTAGAATTTTTAAAATTAATTTGTAAAGGTAGCTCCTACTTTTTCTTTGTTCTAACCCTGTAAGTGAATATACTGCCGACTGAAGGCATTAAGTACTAGTGCCACATATTTTTCATTTTTGACATTCTTAACTCTGTGTGGCCAGCTGCCACATTTTCATACAAGATAGCCTACCAGCTGTACAATTGGCTTTGCCTTGAATGTGACATTGTCAACAATTCATTAAAATCACTTTCTACATCCTGTTTACCTGGAGGTGGATAGATTTCGCAAAGGTATATTATTCATTTCTGGAGCAGCTACATTTTACTGA